CCTTCCCCTCCCTTCCTCTCCCTTCCCCTCCCTTCCTCTCCCTTCCCTTCCCTTCTTTCCCTTCCCTTCCCCTCCTTCCCTACCATTCCTTCCCTTCCCTTCCCTTCCATTCCTTTCCTTTCCCTCCTTCCCTTCCTTCCCTTCCCTCCTTAGTTAGGCATCTGAGCTTTGTCAATCACCATGCATATTTCAAACAAATCTATGAGTTTCCCTTTGCCTTGAATAGGTTTTTAAAACATGGGATTAGATCTATCTATATCTCTTCCCTGTTCAAATAAGCAAATAAACATGTGCGATAGTGCTTCATCATTTAACAGCACTAAAAAGCTTTATCTATCATTATGAAACAGTAAGTAAAAATGAATGGCCAAGTAAGGCAACCAGTAAAGCCTACAGAGTATTCATTCCTATGGAAGCATTAGAAAGACCACCCATGGTTTTTATACATCGACTGTATTGGTCCATAAATTTACAGGGAGGAGTTATGACCTCAGAAAAAAGCAGCACTGAGCCAGCAGGCCCTGGAAGGCGCTTTTAGTAAATGGTAGAATGGTTTTAGCAACGCTCATTCCAGTTTCTTGTTTTAAGGAAAAGAAATCTGCAGTTGGAGTTACAAAATCTGAGTTTAAAATCCAATTCCACAAAGTATAGAGCTTTAGGTAAATCACAAAATATCTGTTTAATGATTTTTAAAATGGATACCGTGGTAATACCACCTTCTCTAGCAGCCTATAATCTTTATGAAAATTCAATCAGATATTCAAGTGCTTTAGGAAATGTCAAGTGTCAAGTATATAAGGACAACCAGTCTCAATGTCTAGATATGACTGAGGGTTTTTTGAACCCACAGTCTCTATTAGTTCCCTTCCAGCACTCCAAATTAATATATAATTCAAGAAAAACATGTACTTATTATGCAAATAAAGTTTCAAGAGATGGCCTCTATAGCCCACGCTCCATCATCTTCTGGTCAGATAACCAGGCCCAAACCCCTCCATACAGAAATCCTCAAGCCTCCACTGAGGCATGTTATGAGTTTTTAGGAACTACTGCCTTGAATGAGCTCTCCACCAGCACTGCTTAGTCAGTCACCAAAGCCACTCACTTATTTAGCATACACCAATATAGTGCAGATATGATTAGGCTACAATTTCCAGATCATTTGGCCAAAATAACCTTTTATTGTCATCACTAAGAGAAACAAGAAAGCACTTTTCAATTCAAGCGTTCATGAGTTCATGCTGAACATGAGCTAATGCAGAGGTAATGAGAGGTAATGAGCTGCTGTAAAAGGCACATGCAGCTTCAACCAGGTGGATCAGCCAATGACTCTGAATGGCCTAGATGGAGAATTCAGCACACCGTCATGAAACTATCTCCTTAACAACCGGATATTGGGGCTTGGAAAATTTAACCCTGTCAGTATCACTGTAGAATCATAAAAATAATAAAGGAAAGAAAATGTTTTACATATACAATTCCTTGGTAAATTATTGTTGATGTCTCAAAATAAATTCCTCTCCAGAAATCTCTCTTCTCCACATGCACCTGGATTAGAGCTGGCCTCCTCTCTGTGAACCTGCTGGTGTAATCCTACTCATCTCTCATAGGGCACCGGCCTTGCATATTACAACGGCATTTACTACACACACCACTACACATAGTCACACAAGCTTCTACACCACACTATGCACACACACATTCATAACTGTTATAGGAAAGTAGAGTAGTTTCAAGTGTGGCTTTAGAACCAAAAAGGTCTCAAACCACATCTCTGATACTATCCAACTATGGGATCCTGGGCAAGTTTCCTAACCTCCCAAGACTCTGCTGGTAAGATGAAGCCCTGAGCTAGCTATACTTACTCTGAAGAGTTGTTACGGCTAAGTGAGAGAGTGTGCTTAGAGAGTTCAGCACAGGGTCAAACACACAGAGAAACCTACAGGAGTGTTAGCTATCATTATTATTATTTATACATTCATATTATAGCCACTTTTAGGAATATACTCTTGATTTTTCTCTTTACTTTTATAAAATACTGAATTTCCACTTTAAAGGCAAAACAGTTCTTTATCTTCTTTATGACTCTCCACTGAGCCTTACACTGAATTAAATGCTATGTTGAAAAAAAAAATCCTGAGAGTTCTATTAAAACATGAAGATTAAGAAGAGAATTAGCAATATCAATTTTTGGGTTGTGATAAGTTACATACACAAGAAGAATATTAAATTGATAAAGTGAAGGATGTTGATAATAAAGGTTTTTTAATTTTGATGATATATTTTAAAAGCAAGACACTGCAAATTAAAAAAAAAAACACTAAATAGTGGACCTATAAGAATGGACAAGTTAATTAATCTTGCTTCAGTTTGCTTTTTTTAAAAAGATTAATTTATTTTTAGAGAGTTGGAGAGAGCAGGGGTGGAGGAGCAGAGGGAGAGGGAGAGAGAGAATCTCAAGCAGATTACACACAGAGCACAGAGCCCAACAGGGCACTCGATCCCAGGACCCTAAGATCATGACCTGATCTGAAATCAAGAGTCAGACACTAAACCAACTGAGCCACTCAGGCTCCCTAGAAAGAAAGCTTGAGCAGAGGCTGGGAGCAGAGGGAGAGAGACAAGCCCAATCTGGGTTTAATCTCACAAGGGCTCAATCTCACAACCCCAAGATCATGACTTGAGCCAAAACCAAGACGTTTAACTGAGTCTGACGTTTAACTGAGTGAGCCACGCAGGCACCCCGGAAGTTTGCCTTTATTTACTTTCATTTTATTGAAGTTACTCTGATATTTTAAGAGCTATTCAACTACTTGAGAGAGGAGGAGAAGAGATCTCTTAACTGATCTCTTAACAAACAGAATCTTTAAACTTCCTTTGAAAGATGATCCTCGGGAGCCTAGTTTCTGGGAAAATCACATTTGAATTTTAAAACTAAGAAATCGGGTTCTGGGTGGCTCAGTCCTTTAAGCATCTGCCTTTAGCTCAGGTCATGATCCCAGGGTCCTGGGATCAAGTCCCACATCTGGCTCCCGGCTCAGTGGAGAGTCTCCTTCCCCCTTGTTTGTGGTCTCTCTCACATTCTCTCTCTCTCAAATAAATAAATAAAATATTTTAAAATAAATAAATAAATAAAACTATGAAATCAATTATATGATCTTGTAAGAAAATATCTATATTTGCTATAAAGTGACTAGTTTATTTGAAACTGCTGAGAATTTTTTAACTTCTCTTGTATGTTTCTATAAATATTCCCAAGTTAATAAAGTTCTCTATGGTAAACAAATTACTGTGATCAAGCAATACTCACCACAATAAGCTCATAAAGAAACTTCCTGGTATTTTTATCTGCATGGCAATCTTCCTTTAACTTCTTTACAATATAGGAAACTTTTTCTGATTCCTTGTCATCTTGTGTTTGGTCAAAATCTTCTAGTGCCAGATGTGAGTAACCCAAGACATCAGCTAAAACTTTCCAATCATAAACTTTTTCTGACACCAAAGTCAATACAACTGAGTAGATGTAAGTCATTTTTTTAAAGGGTAGGGTAATTTGTTCAAGAAGATTTCTGGTTGTGAAGACATTATCAGACATAGATATTACTTGTTCTTTTGCAATCACCTTGACATTTTTGCAATGTACAAGTCCAACCTTACCTCTCAGGACTCCCACATACCATTCTTTCACTTTGGACTGCCCAATGGCTTTTACCTTACCCTCTCCAATAAGAGCTACTGTGTCCCCTTTGAAATATTCAAGTAAGTAGTCAATCTTTTTTTGTCTTAGCACTGTCTTCAGGGTTACCCCATAGTTGGTAAAGTTCATTTTTTTATCTTGAAAAGTGGGATATTTCACACACACTGTTGGTAATAATGGAGCAGACTTGATTTTCTTCTCTTCCTGCAAATCGCCTGGCAGAGTTGAGAGCCTTTTTAGGTTTGGAGCTGGATCAGGTGTAGTGACAAAGAACTGTGTAACTGCTCTACCATTGGGAGGCTCCACCTGAACACGGAAAACAAACAAGTGCATTTCTCTGGAGTCAACTAAGGAAAATAAAAATTGTTGATTAACTACTTCGCCTGCTAGCAACTGCTTTTGTTTAATTTTTTTCCTTTCTATTTCTGCCTTTACTTCAAAATCAGGATCACATGTAGAAACAGAAATATTTAAATCTTGTGGCTTGTCAAGTGAGAACGAATGTTTCCCCCAGAGCTGAAACACAACCGGGGATGTGTTTTTTCCACCCTTCTTAATACCAGAGATTGTAAGCTTTCCTGGCATGTAACTGTGTCCACAAACTGTGAAAATAGCAGTGAAACTGGGGTGAATATATCTGGGTCCATAAATTCCAATGGAGGTGGTTTTGTGGATACAATCCCAAATGGTGGCAGCTGGTGACTGAATAGCTTTAATTTGTGCAGCAACCACGAGATACATCACCCGGCTCAAGTCTGTTAGCTTGACTTGGATGATGTCTTTATAAATATAACAGTTGTTTAACACTTTGAAAGGGCCTTCTTTACCTGGGCTGTGTAAACACACCATTTCTGTCATGACTTGGCTGAAAGGATCCTTTCTCACTTCAGCCCCTATTTTCATCTCCAGCAAAATGCCTTCCATCGTGTTAAGGTTGCCTAACATGATTTCCAATAGTGGGCTTACGGTGCATGAGAGATCATGGTTAAGCATTTGTGGAGGTTCAAGGAACGCCCTTAGAGACACCTCTTGGAATTCTCCCACAGCTACATGGCCTTGGGGCACATGAACAGTGATATCTGATTCAGGTAATTGTATTGACCCTCCTTGGTGGCTTAATTTGCAAACTACCATAGTCTCTGCAACTTGTGTTTGGGCCCATCCGGGACTCTGATTAATTATATTCAAATCCAGGCAGGAACGGGCCAGCTGGCGTTGACTTAACCAAGCCATTTTATAAGCCTCTCTATCATTCTGAAGCCATTCTAAGTCTTGTTCTAAGATCTGGCCAGAGTTATGTGTACTCTGATGGGCATGTGCTGTGTCATCTAAAATGTCCAAAAGTTCTGAAACACTTTTAGATCTTCCAGATGCCTGTGAGGAAGACTGCCTAAGCAACTGATGCACATCTAGTTCATCACCAGAGGAATCAAAAGAATTTCCAGTTTCTATTTCTCTAAAAAAAAGAAAAGGGTCTTCTTTCAAGATGGAAATATTATCTCTCTTCCGGTTATTTCTTAGCTGAGTTATGTCATCCAAAAACGGGTTAGAAGCAGACAGTTCATTCCAGAATGGATTTGTAGCCTTGGAAGAATTATTGCCATGACGTGTGAAAGGATCTGGCCAATTGAGAAGAAATCCTGGGTCTGGACAGTCTTGTTATTTAGACAAAAACAAAGCAAAACAAAGATGAGGTGGCATCCTGGGATACAACCAACTAATTCTTATTATAGCTTAAAAATTGAAGACTCTTTATTTTGTTTTTTGATCTCTAGTCTAATAGTTCCTGCAAAATTAATGTTAAATTCGCTCAAATTTTCATGTTATGAGGAAAGAAACTGTTCTGCCAGTTTATTTTGACTATGTTTAATGTTATTTTATCTTAAGACACTATGATTTCCAAATAAGTGTTCAAAAATTTAGATAATAATCATTTGAACACATTTCCTTGAAAATTACCCAGACTACATACACTTATACCCTATTGTTTTATGTTTCATTTTCACAAAAGAAAACCTCTGAACAAACAGAATAATTCAGTCAACTATCCAAATTTTTCTAAACACTGAATAGTCAATCTCATTATATCTAGGTTATTCATTTATGTTTTTCTTTTCTGATAATAGTCCCCCTGTAAAAAAATCAAATGCACCTGTTAATAGCTAAAGTAATTTAGAAAAACAATATGCCAAATTAGAGAGTAATGCATTTCTTAGATTATTTCCTGTAGCTTTGCACTGATAAATTTTAATAACATTGAAATTTTTTCATGAAAAATAAACACTTCATGAAAATGAACATTGAAAAATAGATCACCATTAGATTTACTATTTGAAGGAATTCATTGAGCTTTTCCAAGTTTAAAATGACAAATAACAGGTTTACCTGTTGAAGTGAAAACATGTTATTACTTTGGAAAGTGAATATTTTAAGAATCGGCAACACATGAAAATATTTACATATGAACCATAAGGAATTTCTATGTATCTCACAAATATTAGTCATTTTTAAATGTTTAGAGCAACTCATACTTGGTCATTTCTCAATAAATATTGGTAATGATTCTGTGGACTTAGTGAAACTGGTGTTGCTTTCATGAAAATGAAAGCCTACATGGCCAGCCAAAATTGAAAAATGAATTCAAGCAAACTGTCAGACTTTTTTGTTTAATATATATAGAACTACATCTTAATTGAAATGGGTTTTAAACATCACATATTAAAAATGAGAATAAGTTTTTGAAAAATAAAAGTTTTATTTCTCTCATTTCCATGTTTCTTCAATCTGGTTTCATCTTTCTTCAAACTCACCTTTCTTCTGAGGATCAGTTCAATTCTTTCATTCTTCATGAAGATTTCTGAGCCCACTCCACCCTCTAGAGATCTCGTTAACCCCCAAATTCATTATATTTACTGCATATATCATTCACTTAATAATGAATTTTTGCCTTCTCATAAGATTTATATAATCCATTGGCTGTGCTATTTTAATTTGCTCATCTTTTTAATGATAGTGTATTTCCATGATAATTTTACAATTTTATAGTTTTTAATCCTCTGTAGCTTTTTTCAGAGGTAGCCCTCCAATAGTTGTCAGTGCTGGGTAAAAAAATTACAAATTATAAATTCTTATACCTGTAAAATGGAAATTTCTTGGGGATTTTTGAGCTTCCATGTCAAACAAATTTCCTTCAGACTTACTTCGTGAAATTCCTCCTAGCCAAAAATGGGCTCTTTCATCGGTTGTCATTTTTCCACCTACAAAATAAATAAATAAATAATAAGTAAATAAATAAATAAATACTTTTTATAAGCATACATACACAGGTTGGCAGAGAAACTAAACTTAAAGTATTCACACATACTTAAATAGAAAACTGCAGGGCACCTGGGTGACTCAGTCAGTTAAATGTCTGCCTTAGGCTCAGGTCATGATCCCAGGAGTCTGAGGATCAAGCCCTACATCAGGCTCCCTGCTCAGCGGGGAGGCTGCTTCTCTCTCTCTCTCCCTGTACCCCTCCCCATGCTCTTGCTCTCTCTCTCAAATAAATAAATAAAATCTTTAAAAAAAATAGAAAAATGCATATAAAAATACTCCACATAGATCCTTTACTTCCAGTGGGATGCTAGACTAGATATCCTAAAATATGTATTGGTACTTCACTGAAAGATGCCTAGACTCTGGATTAATACCAACAAGCAAAATTAGAATGTATTACTGATCCTATAAAAAAAGGTAATTAATGAAAATCCCAAGGATAACAAAAAAGAGTAATAAGCTGAAACTTCAATAAATAGGAAATCCCTATTTGGCGAATGGAAGACAAATATTCACAAAACTAGAAATTCTCCCCTAATTTCTTCTATACATTCAATGCAGTTCCAAGAGAAATCATAACATGGTATGGGTGTGTGTGTGTGTGTGTGTGTGTGTGTGTGTGTGTGTGTGTTTATAACTTCTTAAGCTATTTTAAAATTTAGATAGAAAAGCAAAGGGCTAATATTCAAGACAATCCAGAAAAAGAAAAAGAAGGAAGTGGAATATGCCACCAGCATTTATTATAAATATGTGCTAAGTAAGACAATGTGAAATGGGAACAGAAATAACCTAAGGACACACAACACCCCTACAAACAGACCCACCCTCACATGAAAACTTGATGTATGACAGAATTTGCCACACAGAGCAGTGTAGAAATGACGGATTATTCAATAAATGGTGAAGAAACAACTTGTTGTCCATGCTTAAAAAAATTACATTGATTACACACAAAAAATCAATTCTAAGAGATTTAAACACTAAAAAGCAAAATTTTAAAATAGAGTCTAAAGAGTGATCTTCATGCTTTCTGGGAAGTAGAAAATTTCTTAAGCAAAGCACAAGCACAAAATGCAAACCATATTTAAAAAGAATGAGAAATCGTACAGGTAGATCAAAGGACATCATTTACAAAAAGTAACAACATAAGCCAAAAAGTGGGAGAAGACATTTCCATTACATGACTGAAAAAGAAGAAAAGGATTAGATTCTAAAAGACTCCTACAAATCTGGGGCACCTGGGTGGCTCAGTCGGTTAAGCATCTAACTTCTATCTCAGCTCAGGTCTTGATCTGGGGTCCCGAGTTCAGGCCCTGCATTGGACTCCATGCAGGGTGTGGAGCCTACTTAATACTAATAAGAAGAAGAAGAAATTTAAAAGACTCCTATAAATCAATAAGCAAAATAAAAACAAAATTATAGAAAATTTTGAATAGATCTAAGTATTTCTTTAAAAAGTAAACACAAATGATCCAAAAGTATATTAAAATATGCTCAATTTATTGGGAATCAGGGGAATGCTAAATGAGACCACATGAAGTGCAATTATACCCATCAAATTTGCCAGAATTTTAAAATCTGCAACACCAATTTTTGGCAAAGGTGTGGAGAAAGGGGGAAATCCTGTACACTCCTAGTGGAAGTGTCACTAGGTATAACCACTTAAAAATCAATCTGGCATCATCTAGGAAAGATGCTTATACACTAGTACCCAGCAATTCCAATCTCAGTTATTGGTGCTACTAAAACCTTGTATACGTATGTCAGAAAAGATATTCATGAATGTTTATTATGTTATATTAACAAAAAACTGTAATCACCCAAGTTATCCTTTGTCATATGAATGGATAAATAAGTATAGTGTTTTAATTCACTAAAGTACCATGCAACTATGAAAAGAGATGAGCTACAACTAAAAGCATCAGGATATACTAACTGTAAGCAGCCCGTTGTTGAGACTCAGCCTTCTTTACATATATGTTTTCTCTTTGTCCCATGACAAACCCTGAAAAATAGATATTTTCCAGTAAGATTTTACAGAGTACAATGACTAATCTCAGCAACGGCGCATAACTAACCTACCAGGTCAAACAGCTGGTGAGTGACTGACCCAGACATAATTCTCATGAACATTATGGCTACTCCATACAGCCCGTGACTTAGGATGCCCTACATGCCTTCTCAGACTCAAGGTTCCCAACACTACATTCTGAAACTATCCCACCTTCTAGTTCAAACTGCTAGGCATGCTAAACTTCTACTTCTTTTTCTCCTTTAGGTGTTAACCACACCTCTTTCCCCTTTGACTCTTCTTGGCATACTCTTCTTTCAAGTTCTTGACATTTTATTTCAAAGACATTTATTCTATTTTTTAAAGAAATCAAAAGCCTTTTCTGGTGTCAAGAAGTAAAGAACAAAATGAAATGAGGAGAGAAGAGGAAAGGGAAAGAAGGGGGAGAAACATGTTTTCCAAACATAATGGATAAACAAATGCAAAACGTATCTCATAATGTGGCATACTTAAAAAAATCAAATGGTGAAATAGCAGTTTTTTCCTCCAGTAGGTGAAGGAGAAAAGGGAAGGTTGGGTGAAAAACCAAATTGTGCAATATGCAATTTATACTGAAACCTCAAGTTTCCTGGCAGATCTTCAAAATTTTGTGGTTGATTTTACCAAATATAATGTCCAAAACTAAAGTCCTTGGCACACCATGGGTAGCCAAAGCTTTAGGATAGAAAACTAAGTACACATCCTTGAGCAAAATTAAGCAAATCAAATTAAAATGAGTAAAAAAAGGTTTAAATGAAAAAGTATTTTTCAAAAAGATAAAAGTATACTTTTAATGGAAAATCCATTTAGACAGAAAGCTGCCTAAACTCCTTAATTTCTTGTGGAGGAAAGAGCAGAAAGGAACACTATATCTAGGATTCCTTTGAGGCTAACAACCCCTGATGTAAAAAAAAAAAAAAAAATAGTTATAACCTAGTGAAATACAGTTAGAAGTCCTCAGCAACATAAGAACCAGAATGGTGACTTATGCAGCTGGGGTCCTGGAGGCTCATAACATTTCAGGAACAAAGACACAGGTGGTTATTAGCTAGAATTCTTTGGGAGTAGCCTTCTTCAGTCACCCAAGCAGATCTTCACTGTCCTTTATGCCAGTGGTTCTAAACCTCAGTGGTACCAGAATCACTTGGAGGGTTTGTTCAAAGACAGTTTGCGGGACCCACTCTGTATCTCTGATCCAGAAAGTCTGGGGTGGCACCTAAGAGTTTGCATTTCTAACAAAGCGCCCAAGTGATGTGATGCTGTGGTTCTGAGTGGGTGGAGAGGGGCACATTTGAGAACCACATTTTGAAAACCACCATGCTAAGTTCTTTCCCTGGCCAAATAGATTTCTCCTTATTCTCTGGCTGTTCCCACTATCCCCCAACAAATCCTTCTCTGAATCTTTTTGTTTAACACACGTGCACGTGCACATACACAATCTCACAGGACTTCATCCTAAATATGACTTTTTGTCTTTGCATACAGGGAGGAGAGGTGGTATACCGGACAAGCCTTTGACTGAAAGGACCATGATGGTGACCTATGGAGGGCAGTGCTTGTTTACACAGGTGCAAATAGCACTCGCCATATTTATCGTTTCCCTGTGTTTTCTTACAATTAAGTGTCATACTCAATGGCAATTGCTCTCCCAAAAGGGAATTTCTAAATTTTTTTCTAAAGAAGCATGAGTCAGACTTGGCTAGAATGAATAAGTGGGAAAAGAGCAGTCTACTACTTATTTAATTGGGGACACATTCTTGTCAAACATGACTTTTACAATACACTTATTCTGATTCTATATGACCCATTACTTTTTTTCTTAAAAACAAACAAACAACAAACAAGGTTTTGCTCTTCATTTATTTTAATGTTTAAACTAGGCCTTACGCAGTTAGGAATATTTACCAGCTGTACAACTTAGGAAAAGATCCCAGAGAATTTGGGGGTTAGGGGGAGAGCACCGTTTGCAAAAGAGTAGCCAGGGAAGCAATATCATTTAAAATAATTGGTCCTTTAAAATCTGTTCCTTTGTTGGGTTAAATAGGGGAGGGGATTCAGGAGTGCCTGAGTAGAGCCCTGCCTGGAGCCTTGCATTGAGCCCCCTGAGCCCAGGGGCTGGCTCTGCTCTCAGCTCAGAGTCTGTTTGTCCATCTCCCTCCCTCTCTGCTCCTCCCTGTGTGCTCTTTCTCTCTCAAATAAAGTTTTAAAAATCTATAAATAAATAAATAAATAGTCTGAAAGGCTCATAAAGGAATCGTAATCAGCTGATGATGCTCACCCGGTATGATTTTACTTGATGTTACCACGGTGTGTGTAGCCTTACTGGATGTTACCCCCAGAGCACCTTCTGATGGGCTAGTGACATTTTCCGATTGGTAGTGTATATACCCTATAAGCCGATAGTTAAATAGTTTATCTCTGGTCATTATGATCAAAGATTTAAAAAACCTGATAGGGAGATTTTTCCCCAAGGAAAGTGGTTTTACAAGATTCTCAGGGTGGGTAGCAGGGACCCTGGAACTTTAAGCAGTATTAGTAATGCACAGAAGTTTCTATGATGCCTCTAATCTTGGTAACTCAAAATATTCCATTCTGTTAATATTACCATATCAAGATATCTATCACTTCTTTAATACATTATTACCCTTCCATCACTTGCAGAATTGAAGTTCAGAAAAATTATGATAATTGTTCAGGCTAACATCGTATTCGTGAGCACAAATCAAGAACAGAGAAACAGTTGATCAGAAATTGTTTTATGTTCAGCTTAATGATGTAGCCAAGGAACCTTCGTAGAAACCTCAGTGTGGAAGGGAAAAAGTAAAGGACTCTAAATAGATACACAAAAGAAGTATTTCAGGCTTGTAAACTAATAATAAAA